GAAATGTAAAGTAATGCTACACTCACATACCAGCATAGCCAGAAAGAATGGCTGTGATCAAAAATCTCAAAATAACAAATGCTGGGGGATTTAGCTCAGTGGCACAGTGCCTGCCTGGCAAGCACAAGGTCATGAGTTCAATTCCCAGTACCGGAAAAAAAACAAAAAAAAAAGGTGGTCAAATACTGGCGAGGATTTGGGGGGAAGCAACTCTACTACATGGTTGGTGGACATGTAAACTGGCACAACCACATGGAAATCAGTGTGGAGATTCCCCAAAAAACTAAAACTAGAAATTGCATTTGACCCAGCTCTCCCTCTCCTGGGTGTCTTCTGAGAGGGTTAAAGACAACATCCCACAGTGATCCATGCACACCCAAGTGTAAAGCAGCACAGCTCACAATGGCCAAATCTTGGAAGTGAACTATATGTCCATCAAAAAATGCATGCATGAAGGAAACGTAGTATATGTACACAATGAAGTGCTAGTCAGCCATAAGAGGACAGATCTGAATCATCTGTAGGACAGTGGATGCCCCTTGAAACCATGCTATGCGAAGTAAATCAGATACAGAAGGTTTCTCTTACATTAGAAACCCAAAGTATAAGTCATCTAAAGAGCAAAATAAAAGGCAGGTGCGAGGAAGCAGGGAGGGCTTTTTGCACACGAGAAGGGGACCTAGGGAGGGGGAGAGAGGTGTGGAAGGAAGTGGAAGCAGCAGAGGTTAAGATGTGGTGTGTTCACGTATCAAGTCCCCATAATGAATGTACTCCTCCTGTGTCACAAGTATGTACTAATAAAACATGAATTCAAATAAAAAGGAAGTTGCAGAGCCCATTGCTTACAAATATGAAGGTAGGGTCCTGCAAGAAGAAAAACACTCCGGAGGGAGAAAGCTGAGAGGGGTCTGTACATTTCCTGGGCCCTTCTGTGGTGTGGAGGGCTGCCCCTCAGGCTCCCCGACGTCCTGGCTGTGCCTTGGGGATGCTCTAGTCTCTCCCACCATCCCAGCAAGTACACCCCAGGTGAAAGGGTTGGTGCCAAGGATCCCAGGCCTATTTGCTTTCCATTGTTGCCTTAACAAAGGGTCACAAACTTAGTGGGCTTAAAAGAAAACAGGAAGTTACCATCTCAGTAAATCCTGACACAGTGGCCCCACAAATTGTTGCTACTGCAGCAGTTTTTACAGGTGGTCACTCATGCAGGGCTCACAGCACTCAGGTGTAGACCAGCTGCGAAAGATGGCCACCACATCCACCTTGCACTGTGTTCTCCAAGCCTGCGGTTTCAGAGGGCAATAACCTCTGGTTTGTCTCGGTCTCTGTTGCATGGGTCTCTGTTAGAGCAGCTGGAGCTGCACCCTCCCTAACACAGCTCCTAAATAGTTGTTCCCCCACTCTCTGTCTCTACCCCTCAAACATCTTCCCTGCCCATCCATTCTGTCATTCCACTACTTGCCTTATTCTCTCGGCTACCAAGAGCTTCTAACCATTTACTGCAGCGGTCCTCTGGGTGACCTTGCCTCCCAGGAGATACCTGGCAGTGCTCTGACATCGCACAACCGGGCACAGGGCACTACGGCACTTTGTAGGAAAGGGTACTACGGCATCAAAGCCTTATGTGGCTCAAAATGTCACCTTCTGAGGATGAGCAGCTCTGATCTCATCTATCCTCCACACTCTCGTCACGTAACTGCATCACAGATGGGAACGTGCCCCTTGTGTGGACAGCTGTCAGATTCCTGGCTTCCTATCACTTCTTGATGGCCTTTTCTGTACTTGCAGTGAATTCCAACCTTGCCGCTCCAAGAAAGGAGTTCAGGCCGATCCTAGTCCCCTTTGTAGCCAGGGCTCAGGGACGAGACCGAGACTCCCTCAGTCAGACACCACCTGTGTGCCTTGGATCTGGAGAGAGGTGATGATCTTTTGAGAGTTTGGTAATTCATTGATGGAGGCTGCCAAGTGCACATGGCACTTGATGGTGGCTGAGGCGGTGGCAGCCATTCCTCTGTGGTTCCTGGCAGCGGTCACAGCAATTTCCTCCAGCACGGGTGAGTGGCAACAAGGTCAGTCTAGTTGCAGTAGCTTCCCTGTATGCAGTCAGTCACTTTCCATTGATCACCTCAAAACACGGGTAGTAAAGTCTCCCCCGCATAGAAGTCTCCAATGTCTCAGACCCTTTGCTTAGCCAAACGCTCTTTGTCATCTGGGATGTATCCACTCTGCCATTTGTTCTGGTCACACAGTCACTCTGGTCCTGCTACCCTTCTGCGATCCCATTTTTTTCTTGTTACTAAAAGAATCCTGTGGCACAGAAAGCCTCCTCTTACACATACCCTGGTCCTCAGGTCTGTACGCATCTGTATCATGGATACAGATTTTACAATCTGATACACAGATTTTACAATCTATTGCAGGAGTTGATTCACTTAACGTTAAACGCAGGGACGTACTTTTGTTCTTTATGTCTAGCACTTAGGTCTATTATCTACTGCAAAGCAGGTGATCAATGTTTAAGAAATGAAACAAGTGCTGCCACCTACTGGGAGACACTTTATCTCAAAACAACTTTGGACAGTGGTAGACGCTTCAGGATTGAAGCGTAATAATATTCTCCCCCTCATCTAAGCTGACTGTAAGAACCAGCCTGCTGGATGCTCTCCAGTGATCCCCACCTATTGCTACTCATGCCTTTGGGTGGATCTTCCCACACTAAATGGTTGGTGTGGAACCAGCAAAATATGACACAGCAATGACACGGTGAAGTATGATTAAAAAAAAAAAACAACTATGGTTGATGCTTACACTTATTTATTTATTTTTGGCACTGGGAATTGAACTCAAGGCCTTGTGCTTGCCAGGCAGGCGCTGTGCCGCTGAGCGATATCCCTGGCCCCAGTACTTACATTTATTGAGGACATATTGCCATCGCTCCCCCTCAGAATTCTCCCCCTTGCTTTGAACACACTTAGCCCACGGTTCTTGCCACTTTCTGAAGCAGCTCTGGAGTCCTCCTCCCTGTTTCTTTAGTTGTGCCACCGTGGATACCTCAAGGTCCTGAACTGATCCAAAACACTGATCTTTCATGGTCACTTTGACTTTAGGGAAGAGCCAGAAGTTGCTCAGTACCCGATCTGGTGAAGGAGGCCACACATTTTGAGAGAAACTGCCTAACATTTTGAACTGATTCAGGACATTGAAGCGTCCACAAGAGCACAACTAAAGATACTCATGAAAGAGGACCTCCAAAACTGCTTCAGAATATGGCAAGAACAAGGGAGTATGTCTGCAGGTATGGGGAGTGTTTTGAGGGGAATTAATTGCAATGTGTTTTTATTGCAATAAATTTTTGTTTTGTTTTGTCTTTTTGAGACAGGGTCTCGCTATGCAGTTCAGGCTGGCCTTGAGCTCACTTTGTAGCCTGGGCTGGTCTTGAACTTGCAATGATCCTCCTGCCTCAGCCTTCCTAGTGCTGGGATTACAGGCGTGCACCATCACGCCCGGTTTATTGCAATAATCTCTCTCTTTTTTTTTTTTTTTTGGTTTTTCTCCGGTACCAGGTTTTTTTTTTTTTTTTTTTGGTTTTTCTCCGGTACCAGGAACTGAACTCACGACCTTGCGCTCGCCAGGCAGGCGCTTTGCCACTGAGCTAAATCCCCAGCCCCTATTGCAATAAAATTGAAACTTTTATTCAATTTAAAATTGAAACTTATCACACCACGTAACTTTTTATTGTTTTTTTGAGACAGGGTCTTGCTACATAATCCAGGGCTCACCTTGGACACGTGTGGCCATCCTCTTGCCTCAGGCTCCTGAGGGCCCGGATTACAGGCGTGCACCACCATGACTGGCTCATGGAACTTCAAAGGCTAGGTCATTAAGACGTTGCAACTTTTGGTCTCTCGGGTCACGGGTTCTGAGGGAAGCCAGTTGCTTTAAGGGGACATTCAACCAGCCCTCTAGGGAGGTCCGTGTGGTGAAAAACTGCACCAATAGTCTTGAGAATGAGCCACCTTGGAAGCTGTTCCTGTGGCCTATCTCCAGATTTTGATGTTTGTACGACTGGCTGCTCAAATGAGAAACACAGCTGGGGAGATGGCTCAGCGGCACAGTGCCCGCCTGGCAAGCGCAAGGTCCTGAGTTCGATTTCCGGTACAAAAAAAGAAAGAAAAACTTATTCAAAGCTGGTCCTGGAGGAACTCTCTGACGTCAGGTTGGGTGTGTCTCTTCTTCGCAGAAGGGGAACCAGATCTCTACCTCCCGGACCCAACACTGACATTCTCTTTTCAGACAAACACATTACTTTCCTGCAAGTCAATTCACGAACTAAGGTGTGGATGATGCATTACAGATACCTTTATTCAGAATTTAGAATACCACGTGATAGGGGCAAGTCCTCAAAAAACGAGACCTTCAGGGCAGCTGGGCATGGTGGGAATACATACCTGTATTCCTGGCACTCTAGGATGCTGAGACAGGAGGACCTCCAGTTCCAACCTGGCCTAAGTAACTGAAAGACTTAATGAGACCCCCTTTCAAAATTAAGGGAAAAAAAGCGCGCGCGGTGTGTGTGGGGTGCTGATAATATAGTTCAGTATGAAAGCCCCGGGTTCAATCCCCTGTACCAAAAAACCAACCTGCTGAGCAACAAACCCTCAGGCAGATCCACCGAGTCACGCCATCGCCAAATCCCTGCCTATGGAAACTGCCGGCTGCGTTCCGCGGGTAAGCCTCGGGGCGTGCTAAGCAGCAAGGTTACTAACACGCTTTCCGACCCAGAACCCGGGCCACACGCTGCGTTACATCTGCTGTAGTAGGACGAACGCCCCGGCGCTGGGCTCAACTCCGGCTTCTGAGAACACCGCCAGGAAGACCCCGAGACGTCCAGATCTGTGGAACCCAACCAACCTTCCACTGCTTCCTGGCGGAAGCCGCAAGCGCTCCGCAGCGGAAGTGTGGGGTCCGCGCTTCCGGGGCCGCGACCAGCGCCTGCGCAGTGTGTCTCTCCGGCAGGCTGCACAGCCGCACGCCGAGCAGGCGATCGGAAGTGCGCGGCCGCTGTCTCGCTAGCGGGGTGGGCTGCAGGGGGCGCCTGAGGAGCGCGGCGCAGCGCCCCTCTTCGGAACCGCGGCCCGTGCCCCGGGCCCTCCGCGACCCGCGGATCTCCAGTCGCCGCCGACC